AATTAATTGATTTAAATGTCTTATAATTTAAGCATTTTTTAAAAAACCTTAAAAAAAGATTTTCCGTGAAAATGTGAAAATTGACGGAAAACAGAAACCGCCGCCCAATATAGGCGCACATGTTGTCGGCATTTGGGTCTACCATTTACCGCATGGACAGGGCTTTAAGGGGGTACGGTTTTCAAATGGATACGGTTTAGTCATTCTCCCAAAATAGATCATGATTGTAAATAGAAAACTGTAAAATTACATAAAAACAAATGATAATTGTACACAGTTAATATTTTTAGTTTATGCTTTATTAATTTTTAACTTTTCTACATGGCTGATCAATTCGTAAAACACGTAAGTAGAATGACCAACAAAATTTACATGGTAAATATTTATTGTAAAGATTTTAAATTCTAGTATAGATTGTAGGAGATTTATGTATAAATTGTGTAAACTATATTGTACATAATTATTGTGACAAACTGTAACAACGGCACAATGTGACTAATTTTATAATAATTGGTTTACGATTAATAATAATTTGGTGAGATCCAAATTAATGAATTATAAGTTATAATTTTTTTTAGTAAAAAGATATAATAGTTGTATGTTTAATTATACATCTAGCCCACGGATGAGCACAGACATGTTTTCACTAGCCGTAATTGTTGTACAATCATTGAATCTAATATCTGAATAGCGTTAGTGAATACAAGGTCGCACATAAATGATAAGACAGATTTCCCCGTAGATTTCCCCCTGAGCTCATCCGTGATCTAGCCATTTGAAAACAGTATAAGCAGTTTAATTGTAAACCATTAAATGTAGATTGGTCAGATATTAAATAAATCAGCATTAATCCGTGACTTTTCTTAATATATAAATCACGCATTGCCGTGAATTGTTCCATGCCTGCTGTGTCCACTATTTCTAGCATGCACAACTGTCCGTCCACCTTTACTGCGGTAAATATCGTCTACGGTTTGGTCATAATCGGTAGCAAAAGTACCATATACAAATTTCTTAAGAGGTTGTGCTGCTATGCAAATGGCAAAACTTTACTGAGAATATACTGTACATACATTTTGCCGTTGGTTGAGTACTGCAGTACATCGTTTGTTCTGAATGCCACACAAAACGATAGATTAGAGAGAATTCAGCGCAAAATTACTAAATTCATATGTTTTAAGAGCTCTGAAAATAATTTAGAATATTCTGAAAGACTAAAAGTACTGAATATTGATTCACTGAATATGAGAAGGAAATTAAATACTCTTAAGATTGTTTTTAAATGTATATATAACTATGAATGTATGCCTAATAACTGGATATCATTATATAATTTATTTGATAATGTAAGAAATGGTAAAATATTAACCAAACCATTCACTCGGAATTACTTTTGTGATAAGAATTTAATTATTCATTCAATTAATGTATTCAATAATTTACCTCTAGATATACGAAATGGACAAAATTTTAATACCTTTCTTAAAAAATGTAAAACTTTTTATTTGACGAATATGTAATTTTTATACAACTATTTAACATTTTTTACTGAAATTTTACTGTACTATTCAACGTGTTCTGAATAAAGATTATTATTATTATTATTATTGAGTAGTTAGTTTATTTTTCCATTCGAACCGAGAACTAATAGCTTGTATTCACGCATGTATTTTAATGTGACCAATTATATTTTAGTTGAATAGTTAGCCAAATAAATGAAAAACAAATACTACTATTATTACATCAAAACTTTAAAAATTGTAATGATAAAATTAAAACTGTTCAGTTTAAATTATAACAATAAATAGAAAACTGTAATAAGAAATAGAATATAGATTATATATTTATTCAACATTTTAAAATAATGTTAGTTGGTTTTTGTGGCAGTTAGTGTAAACAATAATTACTTTTTTTTTATAAATTACCTCCAGGTAAATTTACCGGTAAATCAACCCACAAAAAGCTTACTCCATAGATGGAAATGTTGAATTATTAACTTTGATGATTTATTTTGTTGTTTATGATAATAACTATTTTAAATGGACATATCAATTCTAATAATGCGAACAATCATTTAATACTATTCACCTAAATTGGATTTATCATGTATGCAACAATGATGATTTCTTTTAATATTAAGAATATATTAATGTAGATTATTTAAGTTTATTTATTAAATTAACAATTATTTTAATAATTTTAAAAAATTAATTTTATTACATATTTTTCATTAACTTAGTCAATATTTTTAGTTTATGCTTTAAAAAATTTAAAAATTATAAGTTAAATATAAATATATAAGTACAATATGATTTTAATAAATGTTCAATAAACACAAAATTAATAAATTAAAATAGAAAACATCTAGATTGTTTTGTAGAATCGTTTTGTGTTACATCAGGCAGTTTCTTATCCACCTGTCTGACCAGTTCGTAAAACACCTCGTTCACATGATCATGATCCCTACTGGTCAGCTCGATAAACGCACAGTCATTGAATGATTTAGCTAACTTAGCAACCTGGTCAATGTCAACCACCCTCTTGTCTTTTCGTTTGCGTTTAATACCCACTAAAATCATAGGCACGTCGTCTGTGTCCTTAACTCTAAGTATACCCTGTCGTATGTCCTGTATATTATGTATGTTAAATGATCAACAAAACAGGGTAAATATTTATTGTAGATACTTTGTGTATATTGTAAAGTATATAATTATTGTGACAAACTGTAAAATTGGCACAATGTTACTAATTTTATAATAATTGGTTTACGATTAATAATAATATTGGCAAGCCAAAAAAAGCAGATTACAAGTAATAAATTTTTTAGTAAATAGATATAATAGTTGTACGCTTAATTATACATCTAGCCATATTACAACAATATAAGCAGTTTACCTGTAAATCATTAAAAGTAGATTGGTCAGCTATTAAATAAATCAGCATAAATCCGTGACTTTTCTTAATATATAAATCACGCATTGCCGTGAATTGTTCCATGCCCGCTGTGTCTATTATTTCTAGCATGCAAAACTGTCCGTCCACTTCTACTATCTTG